TGTGTGTGTGTGTGTGTAAAATGGGACTGCAGTCTGCAGGGGCAGCGAATCCAGAGCAAGCAGTTTGGGAGGGCTGTACTCCAAGTCCTTAATTCGGCCTCATTCCTGCACTCAGCCCAGCTCAGTTTACTGAAACTGACCCTAAACCAGTTTCACTCTGAGTCCTGAGTACAGCTCTTATCACGGCACTGAGCTTGCAATTGGCTCAGGACTCGGAGCCTTCCTGGCTGGGTTTCCTTCCCACCGTTCCGTGGACAACCCTTCCGGAACACACGGTGAGGCCGTGGCAGTGGAGTCCAACCAGGGCTTCAAGCACCTTTCCCCTCTCACACCCAGTTCCACGGGTGGTTTCAAACTGCTGGCTTTACAGTTAGCGGCCCAACTCGTAACCATGCCACCCCAATAAATGGGCCTTATTTTTGCAATCAAGGTTTATTTAACCTGAAGGGAGCTTCTCATAAAAAACAACCAAACCCACGGCCATCAGGTTGACTCTGACTCACAGTGAGTGACCCTATAGGGCAGAACTGCTCTCTAAGGTTTCCAAGGCTGTCAATCTTTATAGAAGCGTTCAGCCTCATCTTTCTCCTGAGGAGCAGTGGGTGGGTTTGAAATATTCACCCCCACACACATACACCCCAGCACCACCTGCCTTTGTCCCTCTACGGTGTGGCTCCTGTTTCTAAGAAAGAAAACATCATACCCTTCTCTTCCCCTAAGAAGTCGGAGCCTGGAGCCTGGGCTGGGCTTGTGGGGCAGGCATACCCCTCCCCTGTGAGGAAGGCTGAGTCTGGGAAAGGGGGCTCAGGAGACTCCTTGTATAGCCCTCTACTCAGAATTGGGCAAACTAAGTAGATGACCAGAGACCTGGTTGCAGGCCTGGAGTAGATCTGAAACCAATTGTAATCACAGGTCAAGACTCCATCCTCTGGCAAGTGGTGGTGAGGAACGATGGCGTGGGAGGCCCCGCTCTGCCCACCGTGGGCACAAGTTCAAAGGATGGCGGGGAAGGCCTGGGTCCTTCCAGGCGGGGTTGAGGGATGTGCCAGGGTGACGGGATGTCTCCTCCTCTGCGGAGAAAGGGGTGGGGAAACCCGGAGTTCCCAAGCAGCATTTCCAGGGCCAAAGTAGGCATTTCTATTGCACTCGTACTAAACGCCAGACATACATTTTTGAAAGGTAGTTATGTACCATTTTATTTAGTGTTCTAGGAAAGCTTAGGTTACTGCTTAAAAATGAAATGCAAGAAATCCAAAGTTCACAAAGTAACAAAGCCAGAAATGGGCAATTCTATAATCCCCAAACACTAGGGGATCCTTCTGTTGGGGCAAGGGGTCCATTTAATGGCTCACATAGCAGGTAGTAAGAAACCACAGAGCTGACGTTGGTGTGGTACTAAGAGGTCAGATTTCCCCACCTGGGTCTTCCAGCTGGGAGGGGTCATTAATGAGCTGTGGTAAAAAATGGGGGAAAGCCAAAGGGTGGTTTGGAGAGGTGGTTTGGAGAGGGGATTTAGGGAGGGGGAAGGGCAGGCGCTGCAAAAATTTAACATTTTTCTCTCTAGCATTCAAGACAGAAGTGGCTTCATGTCAGGGGCCCTCCCCGCTTTTTGCCCTTTTACATTCCTGCTAGCGACGCTGGAGGCTGCCCGCATGTATCTCCTTTACCCCTCATCCCACCGCCCGCCCAGCGTGGCCCATTCTGTTCCCCTGGCGAGGCTCACACTGGGATAGGCCCGGGTGCCGGTCAAAAGGCCCAGGGACACGGTGACAAACAAGTGGGCAGAGACTGGCCTGCAACAGAAGGTCACAGAGCACATTGGTGTTTGGTACTGAATGGGATGCTTGTATGGACTGGTCTTCATGGAAGGAGCTGCTGCAGCGCATGCATCTCCCCCCAGCACGTTGCTGGCATCCATGGTGGCTCGAGGCAGGTTGTGGCTCAACTGGACCCCGGGGCCTCGGGGACAACCGGTCACCAGCGCTGCAGTGGTCCACCCCACACACCCAAAGCTGTGGGCTCAGGGCAGCGCTGCCTTTTTCTGAATTCCTCCCCAAAGTTGAGTCTTCAGGGACGCTTGTTAACTGAGTGACCTCGGTCGCTCTCCGCAGGAAGGCTACAGACGGCCTGTTTCTCCACCCAGTGGTTGGAAGTAGAGGTCCTGCTACTCAATTGTCCTTCATTCTCCAGAGTTCCCAAGTGGCATTTCCAGAACACAGGAATTCACTCCCCTGCCCGGGGAGGTCCCTCTCAAACTCAGACCAAACGACATACCCAGGGTCCCAGCAGCAGACACCTCCAAGCCCTCCCACCACGCACTGACAACAGTCTCCACGCAGCTCCCGGTCCAGCCGCCCCAGGGCACTTGGGGATCTCACAGTAAAAATACATTTATATCAAATTTTGTTTGTTTTTTAAAGCAATACAGAATATATACATGTACATGTTCAGAGTTCAAGTGAATACAAAATTTTCATGATAGCTATGCATAGATATTTCATAGCACTACAAAAATACAGGCCATCTAAGAAGCCCACAGTAGCCCCTAGCACTGTAGAAGAGTATTAAATAAAATGGCTGTAGATAATTAAAGGCTAGTTAATCAATTTTACAATATTATCCTTCAGATTAAAGTGCTCCAATATGTCAGCAAAAGCCATCTTGAAGCCTGGCCCAGTGCCCATCCTACCCCTCTCCTCTATGCTGAGCTTCAACATAATAGCCACTGCTGGCCTCTAGCCTCTGCCCACCCTGGCCTCCGATCTTCTCCCCTCAGGGCAGATGGCAAGATTTGACGAGGTTCTATCACAGCCTGTCCATGGGGGAAAAGCCGCAACAGCCAGAAGCCCGAGGCATCTGCTTTCTACCAGCGTCTGTCCGCATCTTGTCAGCCCCTCACCACTTCCTTCCTGTCCTGGAGGTCACCGGAGTCTGTCCCAGCAGGGCTGACCAGTATCCAGAGGACACCATGCAGACCTAGCTCAAGCCCTTCAGGGTCTGACCCATCACACACACCCTGACAACCAAGGGGAGGAACTGGGGGACGGGCTTGTCTCCCCCCACCCCACCCCCTCTGGAAGATCCTGCTAAGGAAATCAGGGTGCCAAAGAGAGGCACGGGGAAATGGCTAAAGAAGTCACCCCACACCTGACAGAATTGTTTACTGAGTGCCTCGGGGAGCCAAACCGGGGGACAGGAAGCAGGAACCATGCTGTCTCCACAGGGGACTTGGACCAACTTCCCCTACAAGTAAGGGAAAGCGACACTCCATTCCCTTGTCAGAGCGCCATGGCTCTGGGAGAAGGGCCATGGGCCCACAGCTTAGTGTAAAGCCAGAGTTTAGCGAAAGCTGGAGTTTAGGAAAGGCAGATTGCATAAAATCTAAAAGGCACACACACAGAGGCTTTCCAGAAACGCCTCTGCTCCGGTCAAAAACAAACGAAAAACCAAGAGCCACGTGTGAAAAGCCCGTAGGTTTACGTGGTATCAAAATGTAGCTTCTGCAGCCTGGCAGTCACAGCTGAAGCACTCGCACTCCAGGAGAGTGTGTAACGGCACCAGCAGGCTCCCTCCCAGTTCGTCCTCAGTGTTGGTGGCTGAAGGACAGCCACTTTACACCCCCACCCGTCTCAGCAAAAGAAAACCCCGAGTGAAAATACATCCATACCTCCTGTGCCATCTGAATCTCTGGCCCAGGGTCAGATCCTGTATCTGGTGGGCATGAAATATTGATAGCATAATTAAAGGCACAGTGGTATTCAAAAAGAGAACCCTGGGGATGTACAATAAGAGTCTTTGTAAGAATTAACCAGGCTTCACTTGGTAGACCCCACTCTGATCGGGAGCCTATTTGCTGGCGAGCAGGCACCCCGAGTTCTTGACGTTGAGCGCAGGTGGAGACACACTCACAAGAAACGCTTCAGGGTTTTTTTTATTCAGGCGGCTCACATCTTCCCTGCCTTTCTGCCGACCTGAGCTGGGACGCGGAGGATGTTGGGGGTCTCTTCCATGACCCTGACCAGCAGGTTGTCGATGTAGTCTTCCAGCTCTCGGACCTGGAACTCCCTCTTGCTGATGGTCTCCTTCTGCTTGAGGACGAGCTGGATCAGCTCATCGTGGGTCAGCTGCACATACGCGAAAGCAGGGTCCGAGGGGTTGTATTTCTTTGGAGAGGAGAAAAGGAAAAAGAAAATTAGGACGTCAATATAGAAATCAAATGTTTAAGAGAAACGCAAATGTCCACTGCTCCGAAAAGGGTCGAATTTGAAGGTCCGGAATTGATTGGGAAGAGAGACTATGGACCTCAGTTAGAAACACCAACCATTTAAGATCAAAGAGCAGCATTGATGCCCAAAGGCAGAGGGCTAGTTGAGGAGCAGGATGGGAGCCCGGGAAGTCAGTGGGATAAGTAATAGCACAATGCAAGATTGAAACAGATGAGTTGAAATGAAATGGGTATCAATGGTTGAATGTGAAACTGAGCGGCTGCTCAGTAAAGTCACCTGAATCACAACAGAAGTTTATAAACACACAAACCAACCAGGTACAAAAAAGGAAAATGTCATTAGTCATCTGGGTTTTCGGTTTAGGTTGTTGACCAGGAGTGGCCCACTTTCGTTAAGAGCCTGAGGACCGAGAGTCTGGGCTTTGTTGGCCACCCAAGGGCCCTGTTACACCCTCCGTTTTCTGTTGTGTTTTTTATCTCACCAGTTACCATGGGGGCTGTGTGCCAGAGCAAACCTGGGCTCCATGAGACGTTTGCTTGTTTTCCATAAAGCTCTTCATGGCCGATTTTTCAGGACTCGATCACCAGGGCTTTCTTCTGAGGGGCCTCTGGGTGGGGCTGACCACTAGCCTTTCGGGTTCACAGCCAAGTCTGCCAAGTGAATGACCCACCCTGGGTGAGGGGGCTCTACCCCTACTCAGCTCACATGTGGTGGCTGCCAGCCTGGACTGGGCTCTGGGCTCAGGATTGAAGGCACCTAACCGTGGAGCACTGACCACTCCAAAGAAGCACTGGTGCCTCTGTGAACACCGCGCAGGGTCAAGGATCAGTGCGGCTCTGAGAGATGAGCACCATGCCCAAGCGGACCAGACAGGCGAGCTCCTTCCTTGCAGCCCCACGGGGCGTCTAGCCCAGGATCTCTGAGAATTCAGTGATTAGAAGAAGTAGTGACCACTCAGGGACCCCACCTGCACTCACTGCACACTTGTGAAAAACTATGCAGAGCCGGGGCCAAACGTCACCACGTCAGCCTCCACACTCACATCGATGGCTCACCCCCTGGGTACACAGGGCAGCCTGTGTGACGGCTGAATGCAATGCTCCCCGCCCGATCAAAGCGCAGGCACCCTTCTCAAGGGCTACTGCACTTTGTCGGCATTTAAGTCCAACTGCAATCTGACCAGGCCCAAACCACGAGGCAATACAAGATAAGGAGTAAATAAAAAGTAACATCCCGAACCCAGTCTGCTGCCTCCACCCACCCACACATTGCCATCCGGGAGATGCCAACTCACTCACAGCGTCCCCCAAAACAAGAGTGGGACAGTCCCCAGGAGTGAACAGCTCCTCCTCCTCCCTGAAGCACCCCGCCCCCACCCTAAGATCTGTGGCTCAAGAGTCTACAAATGTACAAGTGCAAAGTCGGGAGCAACCTCAAAACACTTTAAAAATTAATCATTTTACTTGGGGGGAGGGGAGGCTCTTACAAGTCTTACAACAATCCATCATTCAATTGTATTACGCACACTTGAACCTAGGTTGCCATCAACATTTCCAAAACATTTTCTTTCTACTTGAGCCCTTGGTATCAGCTCCTCTATTTGCCCCTCCCTTCCCCATCCTCCCACCCTCCCACATCCTTGATCAGTTCTCTATTCTCGTTATTTCGTGTCTTACACTGTCTGTTGTAAGACAAAATTCCAAGGCCTGGGCACAGGAAGGACAAGAAAGCGGCTCCCACAAACAAGCAGCCATCAAGTGGAGGAGAGAATTGACTCACTCTCTGGTGGCAGCATGGCAGGACCCTGCACTACCCCAGAACCCAGGGGAGAAACCCTGATGTGGAAACCTGGCCGGGAGGCAAAGCTCAGAAACGCACACACAGGTGTTCAACGACAGCGTTTTGACTAAACCTGTCCAGGCTACACAGTTTTGAAAAATGGCTGCTCCCTTAACCCTTCCCCTACTCCCTCAGCTCATTGAAAGCACACATTCATAGAGAAGTTCTGGCAACACTGGCCCCCAAAGTGGCATGTTTACACTGCGTATCACGGAAAACAGCGGTCTGTACACAACAGCCAAGACCGTCCTCAAGGGGTTTGGGGCTTTCTCTCTGACATTTAAGGATTTTATCTCTTTGAAAAATGAGAGATACTCAGCAAGGGAGTTTGTGAAACAGAAAAATGAAGAGGCTGACAGCAAGACAGGAGACCTGGCAGGGCTCCTGGGGGCAGCGACCTTAGGCCCTGGCAGCATGGGGGACAATGCCAGGCTTGCTCCCTGGATGAGGCCACAGAGCTTCAGGAGACCCAAAGGCAAGCAATTACGCAAGGCAACAGGGCTGACGTCATTGAGCGCACGGCATCTGACCCAAGCCGAGAGGCATGAGTTAAAATAGATTTCCACTCCCGAATAGGATTTCTTTTTTGAAAACACAAAAGATACATGTGCTCACCATAGAAAAATCTCAACTACAGATGGGGGGAAAAATCATTGCATACACATTCTGACACATGGTTAGGTCTCTTATTTTTCCTGAGTTTGTTGATGTTTTAAAACTCCAGCATCATATCAAAAATACCCAGAGTTCATTTTTTTAAACTTATTTATGAATTTTCTCATCATTAAATTTTAGCAAAATTGTGTGGTTAGGGCTGCTTAAAATTCCATTATATTTTAGCCCATCTTCAATTGCTGAATATTTAGGTTGTTTTCAATTAAAACGCAAGAAGGTCTTAAATCTTTGCCCACATCTCTAAAATTTCCTTAGGATGAGTGCTTAGAATTGAAAAGGCATGCCCACTGAAGGGGCTTTATACAAGCTGTCGAATAGTTATTTGTGATGGTTCGATTCTGTGTCAACTTGTACCTGGAGGAAAATGTAGGGCTGGAGCCCAACCTATCAATCAGCACTCAGCCTGGAGGACGCTTCCTTGAGGTGTGCCTCTTTATGAGAGACCGGGAACAGGATCCACAAGACCGCTCTCTCTCTCCCTGCTGAGCGGCGCTTTACCTTTCTGCTGCATCGGCCTGCAGTTCCGGGTCTGCAGAGGGCCCCTGCTAGCAAGGAACCCATAGGCTTCATTTGGACTGGGTGCCTTTGCTATCTATGTGCAATTACTTCTTGCAATAAAGTCCTTTCTTATACAAATATGACAGTGTCCCGTTTTTCTAGACAACCCAGCATAAAACACTACTGCATTACTGAATTTGCATTCTGTACTCCAAGTGGTGGTGGTGGTGGGTGTCATAATACATATGTATGTTAAGTGTAATATAGAAAAAATTTTGAAATCCTAAAAAAAATCCTACTTATGGGTTGGTTTTAAAAAATTACAAAACAATCCAGCCTTACAGAAAGGGAGCAGCTGTGGCGAGAGTACCTGCTAAATACCTGCAGAAAACAATGGTGCCTGTTATCATGCATTTCCTGTGCCAGGATTTTACAATGGATTTGTTTTTACATAGTTATAATAATAATGAGGTACATTCAAATATGTGTTCCAACACTTTCCATACACCTACAAATGGTTCTCAGATATCTAGGCTGCACTATTTTTAAAGGGAAATGTTAAAGCCACCTGAGTAAATAATATCCTCCCAATTATAAATCCTCTCTAAAGGGTGGAGCCCCTGAAACAACAACTAAAGGGGGTGGAGCCACTGTAGTCGTGACCCAGCTAATGTCTCATAGCTTTGCTTTTGCAATTCCATTTCCCTAAAACCTCTCTCACTTTGCAACATCCTAAAGAATGGCGCTTTGTTTTGCTTTAAAGTAAACATTGTCTTCTGCCTTGTTACCAAGTGTCTACATGGTAGACCAGTATCGAGTCTCCAGAATGTTTACTAGGCCTGGTCCAGGGCAGACGGCTTTGCTGCTGATGGGCAGAAGTAACCAATCAGCAGTTGCCTTTGTCTGAAAGCAAGTTTCTCTCCCCACTGAAGGTGCCTGGGGGAGAGTGCAGTGGGTAAGTGTTCTGGCGGCAACCAAACAGCTGGGGGTTCAAACCTACCAACTACTGGTAGAAAGCCATGGCCACCTGCTTCCAGAACGATGAGTCTTGGAAACCATGTGAGATAGTTCTACCCTGTCCTATAGGGTCCCTATCTGTCCCTAGCGGCACCAGAACAAAAGCACCAGATTCAATGCATTCTGAAGGGTAAATAAAACTGGAGCCAAGGGTCTTGCAAACTTCCCCAAAGCTAGGTGTTTGCCTCACTTTGGAGCCAAGCTGCATTCCACAGGAAAAAGGAGTGGGAAGCGACTGAGTGATCCTGGTTTTTATTATCATTACTGCCGTTTATGTTATCTGTATATTGTTCTTTTGCCTAATTTCCTGGTAAATATTATCAACTCCAGGAAGGCAAGTGGCCCCTGCCTTTTTCACCTGCAACAGCACAGAGCTGGCCAAGCTTAGCTGGCGAGTTCAGCGCACATTGTACGGACTGGGCCTAAGGCAGAGCCGGTGCCCAGAGCGGGCTAGCGCTGCCGGCTTTGGGAAGGACAGTGACCATCCGCTGGGTCAGCAGGCACTACAGGAGAAGGAAGGGCAGGAGGACGCCAACTTGTGTCAGCACTAATTAGCTCCTGCGGGATGTAAACATAAACAACCATTTAAAACCGAAGTTTAGTTGTACAGACTACAGTCCCCAGAAGTTCCTCTCCACATAGCTGAGATACAATACCACCCTTACCAAACTTCAAGGTCACCAAATTTTTAGCACATCATTCTTTTCTAGTATATGTGCTGCCGCCGCCGCCACAAGCACAATACATCATTCTTTTCTGTGTGATGATGAGTCAGAGACGACCGGGGCTTGCAAGCAGGCAGTATCTGAGACCCTTCTGGTTTTAGGACCCCAAAGGGGAGGATGCAGGCACATCCCAAAGCAGAAGCCACCAAGAGGTATAATCTAGGGACTGGATTTGTTTTTATGGGGAGGATTTTTTCACTGTTAGCTCATGTTTTTGAGATATAAAACTCTCTAATCCAATAATACTGTGCCTGGCAATCTAGCTTAACGAAGCAATCGAAAGGAAGAGAAAAAGAGTCCCAGGCGAGAAATTGCTGACCATCGACCGTAAGTGGATGCAGGGGGCAAACGGGACCCTCAATACCCCAAATCAGCCCCAACCCCAACTCACTGCCAGCGAGTCCAGTCTGACTCCCGTGACCCTCCAGCACAGAGTCTGTAAGAACTGACATGGCAGACGGCCTCTTCTTCCTCCTTGGTTGCTGACGTATGCTTCACTTACAGCCACACCAAAGCTCCTTAGCCAATAATAAGAAGTAAATAGTGGCACATCCATTTCAAAATATAGTAGCGAATAGGCAAAAAAGCTTGATGCACTGTTAAGTGAAGAAGAGAGAACCCGAGTGTTTCCAGCAAATGACAGGGCTGGAATGGTGTCACTGTGTAACCACCGCACTGGTCACCGGACACCGTGCGTCTGGAGAGGAACAGGATCTCCACAGGACCAAATTCTACACTGGACCTTAGCCAAAGGGCCAAGAAGCGAGAGTCCCAAATTCTTTCCCCACAAATTACTTATTAGTTGTAAACGGGAAGAAGCTGCCAGGTACCACCTAAATTAGGTCATCAGGGTGAACGGCACCCCCAAAACTCAGGGAAAAACCAGACGGGGGCCCCTTAAGCGATGTGCTGACAATGAAAAGGTATTTGTGCAGCGATGCCTGTCAAGCATGAATACCACCTGTGCCAAATCGTGAAGTAACACAGGACAAGCCCAAGCTGAGGGTAAGTCTACAAAGTCTACACTCCCAGGAGACAAAGACAGTCAGTCCTATTCCTGAAGAAAGGGCAGGAGAGGGCCAAGGAGGGGCCGTGGTGGCGCAGCAGTTCAGTGCTCAGCTGCCAACTGCACAATCTGACCCCACCAGCCACTGTGCAGGAGAAAGCACAGGGAGATCTGCCACCCAGCAGAATTCCGTCTAGCAAGCTGTGGGGCAGGCGGTTCTACTGCGTGTGACAGGGTCCCTGAGAACTGGAGGCAACCTGACAGCATGCAGCAGCAACACAGGGGCAAGGGGCACGCAGGCTGGCAGGTGGAGCCCATCCAGAGGCACCTCAGAAGCCAGGCTTGGTGATTTGCTTCTGAAAGGCCACAGCCTGGGGCAGCCCCTGGAGCAGCATTCCTCCGTGTCCCCGCCCTCAGTGTCTGACAGACAAAGCGGCACCTCCACAACCCACAGCCCAAGCCCCGCCCAAGTGCAGTGAGTGACAGTGGCTTGGATTCTTGACTAGGGGGAAAAACACTTAAACCAAACAAGACACTATTAGGACAACCAGAATAACTGAAATGTGAATTTAAAAAACAAACCAACACATCATGTTAATGTCAGACTTCCTGATCTTGAAATATGTCATTATTCTTAAGACATGGATACATGTTTGCATAGACATAGCAAGAAAGGGAGAAGGAGCGAGGGAGGGAATGATGAAGTAAATGCAGTAAAATGTTACCAACCAGTGACTCAAGGCGATGGGCACACAGGAGTTCTTTGTACTACACTGGCAATTTTGTGGTGAGTTTGAAATGATTTTGAAATAGCTGTAACGACTAGGGAGAGAGTAACTACCCGATAGAAAATCTGGAGACTTCCCAGGGGTATCCAGAGTGCACCCTAAGTGTGATTAAACTAGCCCTGGCATGACCTGCTGCCCAGCAGCTGTGCACAGTGGTGACTCTAGAAAGTGTTTGGGGGTCGATTCCTAGCGGCCGTACTATGTGCCAACTTCTAAGAGGAGCCATACCTTCATTGTGGCATCATTGATCCAGTTCTCACTGATGATGGTGGCAGTTCCCAAACTGGAGTTAGCAACCTTCGTGGCTGTTGTGTTCATTGGCTTCACAGGATGCAGTCTAGAGAGAAGAACAGGGACCCTTAGCCCGCCAGACAGACAAGGAGCGCGACGGTGAGAAGCTCTGTTCACATCTCTGATCCAACACACCCCAATGTCTACACTCCTGTGCAACGAAAGAAGTCACAACCAGGCAGCCACAGACAAGCTGGCAAAGCACACCTGTGGGCAGGGACCTGAATGTTCTCACAAGACCTTTATCTTGGATGGCTCTCGGGAGAACATGGACGGAAGTCTCCTAGTTTGGGAGGTAACGCTAACCTGGAACTCCACTGAGGAAGTCCCCGCAGGGCCTTAGGGTCTTCAGGAGTGAAGCCCTCAAAACAAATATGTCAGCCTGACCCAGGCTGTGCTTCCTGGGAGTTCCAAGCTGCTAGCTTCTGCCCCTTGACCTCTCAGTTGGTTTCTGAGACTATGAAGATGCTAGCCACAGTATCTGACTGCAGAACACGTCCCGAGCTCTCTTCGAAGACTACGACTGCATTCTGGCTACCAACGCAGGGGTGTCTCAAGGAGACAGTCCTATCAAAATAGGCCCTGACAGCAAAACAGATAGGGCTCCAACATGGGAACATCTGTGCAGTTAGAAAGCCAGAAGCCGGGCAGGGGAAAAGCTAGGGGAGGAACAGGGCTCCCATTTAAGAAGACAATTAATCGTGCCCATCTCTCACCTGTGCTTGGCTGACCAGGTTCCAGTGCCTGGCTGAGCTGAGACTGGATGTGTCTCTGAGGGCGAGACCCAGGCCTGAAGAAGCGGCTTCCTCTTGCCAGAACTGTCCACCTTAGCAGCGGAGCCCTCTGCTGGTGCTTTTTTTTGAGATTCTGCGGTACTTGTGTGGTGCGTGTGGGCATGTGGAGAGCTGGGGAAAGAGTGTGTGGCAGGAAAGGGCTCAGGACAGGGGGGGCTGGAAACAGGGCAGTCCAGGGGCTCACCAGGAGGCTGGCCTGGCCTCCCATTTTCTTCCTCGCTGCTGCTGCTGCTGCTGCCACCGCCCTCACCACCTGGCAGCTGTTTATCCAAGCTCAAACTCTTGCCAAGATGTGGTTTGTGAATTCCTAAAGCTGCAGCTTGCTGTGAAGAAGCTGTGACAGGTGCCCTGGGTGCTTTCGGCCTGAGGTCATGCAGGCTCTCTGCAGGCACTGCAGGCCTGGGGCCGTCTCCCAGGCTGCCACTCGGTCCCCCTTTGTTCTTGGGACAGGGGAGAAACACGCTCAAGGAGGAAGCTCCTCCCTCCCAAGCGGCTGGCCTTGCTATCTCTCTGACAACTTCAACCGGGTCTTCCACCCTTTCGTCATCCGATGCGACTTCGGGAATGGAAGGAAGGGTTAGGTTCAGGTCAGCCATGACTGGGGAGTTGGCGCCTGCAGCCGACTCCAGATCACTCAGCGGGTCAGACAATAGGCCTTCGTGGTCACTGGCTCTGCTCTGACATCGCTCCTCCATCAGGGGACCCTCGTCATCTCCCTCTGTCCCAAGGAGTGCCGTGTCTTTCTCGAAGCCACTGGCGTCACCCTCGGGGCCCACCAAGGAAGTCTCCTCTGTATCTGCCGTGGGAGCCAGCGCCCCACGGCTCAGCAGCTGGTCTTCAGTGTCAGCCTCCCACTCTGGCTCTTCTCTGCGGGGAGACTCGGGGGACTCCCTGACCTGCACCCCACCAGCAGCAGCCCCTTCCCTGGGAAGCTCCTGGGGGTTACCGCTGCCCTTGCCTGCCCATCCAGGGGACTGCTCTGCCTCCTCTTCCACCAAGAGCTGCTCAGGAAAAGACACTTGCTTCTTGACTTTCTTCTGGTCTTTGCCGGCATGCAGACCCCCCACTCCACGATTCTGTGTCACTGGGTCAACTTGGGGGACCGAGCCCACCATTGGAAGAGGGGGTGCCGCTTCCTGAACCGCAGTAGCCACCTGACTGTCTCTAACTGTGTTCCCCACCAAAGATCTAGACTGAGCGGCAGCATCCGAGTTTCCCTTCTCCCCGATCCAAGGCGTTTCTGCTGAGCTTCCAATTCTGCCACTTCGGACTGAAGGGCCGAGTGTGCGCGCTCCAGGCTGGTCGGAGGAATGGGGGTAGCCTTCCTTTGCGGGGGAAGACCTCCGAAGCCCCTCTTCTTGTGGCTCCGTGTCAGGCTGCAGCAGGGGAGAGTTTTGGGGTTCCTCGGTGCTGGTGTGCTCGGGGTCTAGGGCAGCGGTCTTCTCCTCGGCACGGTCTTCTGCCCCGTGATGTGCTGGAGTGCGAGGCTGTGGGAAATGCGACCCCACAGGATCTGGGACTTCGGTCACATGCTCCTCGTGCAGCCCCGGCTTAGGAGGCGGAGATGGTTCTTCAGAACTGGCCTGGCCCTCGTCTGCGTGAGGCCGGCTGTCAGTAGGAGTAGATGTGGAGAGGGGCGGCTCCACGGGAGATGAGAAAAAGGAGGAGACAGGAGGGCTTTCAGAGGACCGCGTCTCTGAATCAAGCCCCAGTTCAGAAGGGAGGAGGGTCTGACCAGAAGCGGCAGAGAGGGCAGGAAAAAAGAGAAGCGAGTCAGGAGGGGGAGGAAGCCTGGCTTTGGGTTGAGCCTCTGGAGACACTTCCAGTCTGTAAAAATGACAAAATAAAATCTGCTGGTCAGTTGCAGATGCATCGTGAGAGCCTAAAAGACACATGAAACCCTAGCCGTTCACGAGGGGAGAACGAAGGTATGCACGACTGGGACAGAGCCTTCAGAACTAAGGAAGGAACACCAGTACCTGACACACAATAGCAACACCTGTACCACAAGCACGTCTGCCGCACAGAGGGCTGTTGCAACAGCAACGGAAAAAGATCCAGTAAGGCAACAGCCTGTCTCCTCTTGGTGATAAACGCAAAGCCCTAATCTTTGAGGATTACAGGGCAAAGCACATTGAAAAAGTTCAAAGCAGAAGATGGTGTGTCTATCACAGCCAAAAAGGCATGGTAGTTCAGAAGTGTAAGTGTGTGTGTGTGTGTGTG